GAAGCAGTAGAGAAGCAATAACTCAGAGTATTGCATCTCAAGGTCTACGGAGCCCCTGAGGAGTCAGAATCCTACCCCAAAACTATAGAACAGGACACCCAGTTACAGAAGCTCTGAGCATAAATCCGGGGCCACAGAAGGTAACGGAGCCCAAGTCAGAGCCCTGGAGTTCCAGTGGAATGTGGCTCCCTCTTCTTACGCAACTTTAACCAGTCCATTTTTTTCTTTTAATAATTTATTTAATTTTATATTATGTGCATTAGTGTGAGGGTGACAGATCCCATGGAACTGGAGTTACAGACAGTTGTGAGCTGCCATGTGGGTGCTGGGAATTGAACCTCGGTCCTCTGGAAGAGCAGACAGTGCTCTTACCCTATCAGCCAGCTCCCCAGCCCTAACCAGGCCATTTTGTAGCCGGGTGTGACGATGCACGCCTTTAGTCGTTGCGCTCGGAAGGCAGAGGCAGGCAGGTCTCTGTGAATTCGAAGTCTACAAGGCAAGTCCAGGAAGCCAGGACTGTGTTACACTGACAAACCCTATCTGAAAAAACCAACCAGTCAAATTAATAAGTAAATAAAAATTTGTAATTTATACATATTTGTTTGTCTGCCCAGTGACTACTGCAGGGCCCAGCACATGACAGGTGGCAGAATGGTCTATAAAAACTTTCAAAAAACAAGAGACTAGCCCAGATAACTAAGACAGCAGCCGATTCAGCATTAGTCAGACAACTGGCCCCTGAGAGAGAGAAGCGGTCTCAATGAGAAAGTAGAAAAACAAAACAGCCCATAACAGAATAAAGGATTGAAAGGGAACCCAATCCACAGACTGCACTCATGCAGGGTTTTGGTGATGTAACAAAGCTAAAACAAAACAGAACTACAGTTGAGAGTCCATGAGTGTCTCCCACAAGGGCTCAGGTGTTGGGAGCTTAGTTCCAGCTGAGGAGGCTGTTGGGGAAGTTTCTGTGAGCATCAGAAAGTCACCATGGGCAGGTTCACGCCGGCATCTTGTCCCAGGCTCCTTCCCACCCTTCATTCTTTCTTTTCCTCTCTGCTTCCTGTCCACCTCCACCAGACCATGCTGCCATGATGTTCTGCTCAAGTGCACTGGCACCAACTTAACATTTACATCTTTGAGTTGTTCTCTTCGCTGCCTTGCTCAAAGCAATGCAAAAGAAACGAATGAGTTTCTCAGCGGATATTTCTCTAATGATGTAGGGAAAGACGGCTGAACAGGTAAAAGTGCTTGCAGAGGGAGGCTGATGGCCTGAGCTCAATCCCTGGAACTCACAGCCAAACAAAAGCTTGACTCCTAAAGTTGCCCTCTAACCTCCACACGTGCACAGTGGCATGAACGAACACCTCCTCCGACACAAGTAAGTAAGTAAGTAAATAAATAAATAAATATGCATACAGCAGCCGTTGCCTTTTTTTGGGGAGGACACTCTTCAAGAACCTCAACAAATGGATTGGCACAGACAGAACCCTATAGGAAATGTTTTTCCTGTGTACACATATATCCAATGATAGAGTTCAACTTAAAATAAATTAGGCACAGGACGAGATCAACAACAATGGAGCAATTAAAACAATATGCTGAAATAAAAGGCACACGAATGTGCCCCCTCTCCGTTTCGAACCATCTTTACTCCTCAACGCATCAGGGTAATTTCGTCAGGCTGCGGTTGACCAGGAGTGCATGAACTGCAGATGAAGGCAGTTCATGAAGATGAAAAGTACCCTGCCAAGCATGGCCTGAGTTCAGATACCCAGCATCCGCACTGGCACACGTCTATAACCACAGCACGAGCGGTCTGGCGGAGACAGACACAGGTGGCTGTCTCGAGCTCACCGGCCAGCCTAGCTCCAAGCTCAGCGAGAGACCCCGTCTCAAGCAGGAAGGAGGGAGGAAAGTCATGTGGAGAATGACTGAGGAAGACACTTGACACTGACCCACCACCTCTCACATGTATATAACCCCTATCACACACACCCTGCTGGTGAACAAGCACAGGAAACAGCTCTCAACGTGGTTAGTCATTAAAGAACTGCAAAGCAAACCGCAGTGAGATATTACTTCATACCATTAGGATGACCACAGCAAGCCACTTGTGACCTACGCGTAAGATGGAACACTGTGCATTCATAAAAAAGGATGAGAGACCCATACAAAGCTGATGAGTCCCGAAACCACAAAGGCCAAACATTTTACGATTCCATCTGCACAAGAATAGGCAAATCCAGAAACAGAAAGCAGATTAGTGGCTCTCAGGGGCTAGGGCCGCAGGGAAGGGCGACTGTTTCCTGGGGAAGGGTGACGGAAAAGTTCTAGAACCTGACAGGTGTGGTGGTCACATGCCCCTCTGAATACACTTGGAGTCGTGCTTGAATAGACTTTAAGATGATAAACTGTATGTAATCATGCACTTTATATTTTACTACAGTAAGAAATGATGATTGCGCTGGTGAAATGGTTCAGTGCAGGCGCTCACCACTGGACCTACGCCAAAGACTCGCATGGTGAAAAAGGAGAAACCATCCCTTGTACACTGTCCCTTGACGTCTACCTGGGCACTGTGCACATGCACATACACACATAAATGTAATAAACATTTTTTTAAAAAAAGGAGAACCATTTTAGCACTAGGGAGGTAGAGATAGGTAGTTGAAGGTCACCCTGTAGTTGAAGGTCATCCTCTACCAGGTATCAAGTTCAAGACCAGCCTGGGCTACCTGAGGACCTGACGGGGGTGTGGGGGTGTGGGGGTGTGAATGAATCAAGTTTTCCCAGTGCTGCAGCATCTACAGTGGTGATAGGCATTCATAACGAGCTAGCAGATTCTGTTCCAAAAAGGTGGCGTGTGTTAGGCTGCACAGACCATCAGTGCAACACCATTAAATTCTCTCCAGGACGAGGCAATGGCACCGGTGAGGAAAAACATCACTGTGGCTCTTCACAGACCTCCATCAGGGATGTCACTGCACGCAGAGAAGGTACACCCGAGGAAGCCATCACCCCACGCCCCCAGAAAGCACAACGGAAACGGAACCAAAACGCTGCCCTGGACCATCAAAAGTGCTCAGGTTCTGGAATGCTCCTAGGATTCCCCTGGCTCCTACCAAGCGGCCTCGACGCCACGGGCACCCATCCCATAGCAACACAGATAAGGTGCTCTTGAAATTTCTGTTCCAGAGGATTCCCTGGGCTGTGCTCTCCTCCCCCCAGGCCGTCCGATTCCCTCCCTTCAGGTTTCAGGGCTCTGCTCTGCCTCTAGGAGTTACCTGAGCCCATCTGCAGATCAACACAAGGTGCCAACTGTAGGCTCCTGAGGTGTCTGAGAACTTTGGAACCGAGGCCAGGTGTCTGATCAGCCACTGACAAAGGCAGGATTACCAGATCTGGGTTTAATCAGTTTGGACCATATGGCTCTTATCTAGAAATTCTTGCATGTGCAATGTCGAGTCAGGGCTCAGCACACCGGAGCTGGTCAAACAGACTTCAAATCTAATGATGAGGGAACTGGTAGCCACACCAGGTCTGCATTAAAACAGGCCAATCCCTCTGCAATAAAAAGCCATGAGGCTCTCTATTTTCAAAAGCACAACTCTCTTTATGACTGCCACTTATTCCAGTTTCAAATTTCTGGTTTCTACCAGTGGAGAAAAAAAAAAAAGTACTTTAAAATTATCAGCATCCAAAATTTTCCAGGAGAAGCTCATTGGAGGCACTGTTGGAAGGAACCAATCCGGTCACCGAAAAAAAAAAAGGCTATTAGTCGTCTGGGCAAGAAAACACACAAGATTCCATACATACACTGTCAAGCCTAGCAAGAAAGATCTGAGCAGACTTCCACCCTTCCCACCCAACCCCAAGTAAATAGGGCATTTGTTTGTATTTCCACATTGGCTGCACCAACGAAAATACCTCCTCCACCTAGAAAAACAAACCCAAACATTCAGGCATGGAATATGAGGGCAAAGTTTTAGCACACACTGGAGAACCTCACAGAAAATTATTATTATTATTATTATTATTATTATTATTATTATTATTATTATTATTATTATTATAAGTCTGTCCGGCAAGCACTTTCCCCAAGTTTACACTTAATACCTGGTTTGGTATTTCTAGATCAGCCAGGGACAAAGCTTTTTGTTGTTTTTGTTCTCTATTAAAATTGAGCCAGAAGGAATCTTCCCCCAGCAGAACTTGAAAGTTCTGTTTGGGGGAAACACACACACACACACACACTCACTCACTCACTCACTCACTCACTCACTCACACACTCCTTCATTTTCTGCTTTGCACCAAATAGGTTCAGGCAAGAGTTAAAAGTTGTCCTGCGGTTTAGGGGCGGGGGGGGGGGGGGGGGGGGGGTTAGTTGCTTAAATTTAGAATCCGTAAAACAATGCTGGGAAACTTTCCGTCTGGGAGAAACGCTGCCGTTTATTTGACTGCCTTTTGTTAAGCCCGCGTCCCATTAGCCACAAATCCTCTCTCCTCATCCCGCAGCCCCAGTTCCCCGGGCAGACCCACACAAACATCCCCGCGCGATCCAGTTCCCCGCGGGGACGCGGCGGAGGCGCGGAAAGCTGCGGAGGGGTTCGCGCAGGAGCCTGCTCTAACAGGTGGCTCCGGCCACGTCCCGGTCCCGCCTCGCGGGGGACGGGTCCTCACGCGCAGCCGGGTGCCGATCCCCCTCGTCGGGCTCCGGGAAAGGCGAGGAGCAAAGCCTGAGAGCCGGGGACCCAACGCGGACCACACGCCCCGAGCCACCGCGCGCTCGCCCTCGGGGAAACCCGCGTGGGAAGCCACGCGCCGCGACCCCCGGAGTCCCGGGCCGAAGGCCACCCCGCGCACCGACCCCGGCGGCGGCGGGCGCCCCAGCTGCGCGCCTTGGACTTCCCCGACGCGGCGCCCTCGAAGATCGGACAGCCGCCGCCGCGCCCCGCCGCTCACCCCTCGGCCTGCCCCTGCTCGCCGGGGCGGGACTCACCAGGCCGGGTCCCCTCCGAGGGTCGCAGGTGTCCGCGCCGGCGGCGACCGCAGCGCTCGCGCCGTCCACCCGCCAGCGAGCCGCGTACGCTCGGCCCGGAGCGCCCGGCACCTCCCCGCCGCGCGCTCCCGGCCGTGCGCGCGCCGCCCAGCGCCCGCGCTGCGCCTCTGCCGCGCGCTCCCGGCTTCGGGACACCCGTCGGCCGGAGGTACGCTGCGCGCCCCCGCGACTCTTAAAGGGCCAGCGCCAGAGGCCCCGGGCTGTGCCTTTGGCCATCTTTCAGGTCTTGGTCTACTAGTGAGACCGAATGGAGGGTGAGCGATGTGAAATTGCTAGGAGGATGTACTCCACCACCAACTTTGAGGGTTTCATTGGTGTTTTGAAGTTGAGTTTCATCGAGCAGGTTAGTTTCAAGTCCGTGATTCTCCTGACTTCTGGGATTACAGGCATCCAACAGCAACACTTTTCTGAGAGAGTATTTTCATTTAATAATAATGACTACATTTATGGAATACTTACACTCTCAGACAAGGCACACATAACATACATTATTTCGTTTCATTCACTTAGACAATGCTTGTTTTCTTTTTTTCCTATTTATTTGGGGGTGGGTGGGTAGATGTTTCTTTGTTTTTGTTTTTTGAAAAAGGGTTTTACTATGTAGCTTTGGCTGGCCCGGAGCTCACTACGTAGACCAGGCTGGCCCCCAATTTAGAGAGATCCATCTGCAGGCTGGGATTAAAGGTGTGTGCCACCACACCCAGCTTTATTTCGTTTTTAATGGACCCATAAGAATTTGTGAGTTACTTACGAAATGCTCCCATACATCTACACATTAAACAGTGTTTTTAGCAGGGTAAGCATAGCTAGCTCCTTAAATATTTATCTTTTTTGGAGTAGGGGAGTATTCAAGACAGGGTTTCTCTGTGTACCCTTGGCTGTCCTGGACTTTGTAGACCAAGCTGGTCTCAACTCATAGAGATATGCCTGCCTCTGCCTCCCTGGGTGCTGGGATCACAGGCGTGTGCCACCAACATGCTCGACATATTTGTCATTTTTTGTTATGAAAAAAATGTCAAAATCCTCCTTGCTTTTTTGAGTTTATTTTGGTACATCTGTCCATCCATCATCCATCCATCCATCCACTGATTTGTGTGTGTGAGTTGCTGCAGAAAAGTGAAGGCCAGAGGGCAACCTTCTGGAGCTGGTGCTCTCTTTCCAATACGTGAGATAGAACTGAGGGCTCACGGCAACTGCCTTCACCTGCTGAGGCATCTCCGGGGCAGGGACCTTTGGCTTCTGATGGTCGTTTTACAGAGAGGGAATATCAGGTAGACAAGGCTGGAGGAATGTCCAGGTTTTGACCCTGCTGATTGCTGCTATTTCTTTATTTAGCACTAGAAATATTTCTGAATAGCTAATAATAATAACTAGTTGGGAAGCCTTTTGCAAGTGAGCAGAAGCTCACGTCATCAGTGAGAAAACCAGTAGCATGCTTTTTGTTTTGTTTTGTTTTGTTTTTTTCATTGTAAGCCTTGGTATGGCTTGAATGATACAGAATATGACAATCTGTATCCCAAATACGTTTGTGTTTTTCCCCATTTCACAGAAAACTAAGGACGGAAGTGGCTGGCTGCACAAATGCCTGGGTTAGAGGCAGCTGTCAGGCTGAGTCCAATTCCTCAGCCCTTAGATCATACCGTGGCCCTCCCCAGGAAGAAGAAGGACCTGATTACAGGGAAGAAAACTTTTCCTCTAATAACACATTGGCTTCAGCTAACTCCCTGCATCTTTAATTAATGTTTACAAAGCACTTTAATCTATCCAACGTACTAGTTAATTAAACAAGTATTATCATCCCCCTCTTTCTGAACCAAATCCAGAAGAGAATCTAATCTGATAGTTCCCTGGTCCTTGGTGAGTAAAGATCCAAGTTTTTTGTTTCTGTTGGGGTTTTTGTTTGTTTGGTTCTCTCCTGTCTTAAAATTTTGCCTCATATTGTGTTAAATGTGGATGCATTTGTAATAAGTAAATTTTCAGAGATGTATAATATAAAATGCTGTATGTAAGTAATATAATTTACCCTTGTCTTTAAGAAAGCAGGTCAGGCCTTTAATCCCGGCACTCAGGTCGCAAAGGCTGATGGATCTCTATGAGTTCGAGACCAGCCTCATCTACATAGTGAGACCAAGCCAGCCAAGGTGGCATAATGAGATGTGTTTCAAATGAACAAAACTCCAGGCATTTTGATAAGTAATTCCCAGAAGTTCTTTTCACTTTATTATTGTTCTTTCTGAGCTTTTCTTTAGGCTGTTTCTTTTTTCTTTTTCTTTTCTTTTCTTTCTTTGTTTTGTTTTCAAGACAGGGTTTCTCTGTGTAACCCTGGCTGTTCTAGAGCTCGATCTGTAGACTAGATTGGACTCAAATTCACAGAGATCTGCCTGCCTTTGCCTCTGTGCTAGGAGTAAAGGCTTGTGCTACCACCACCCGGCAGGAGTGTGTCTTTTTAAAGTTTTTGAGGTGTGTTTTTCTCTGGCACATCAAGTAAAAAGGAGGAAATGAAAGGATTACGGATTATCAAGAAAAATAAGAAAAAAGATAAAAGCAGAAAGGAACAGATAGGGTGGGGAGGGAACAAACAAGACAGAAGATGAGACTGAAACATTTCACCCTAGAGGCCTCTCCTGCTGGCAGATCCCAGCGTTTGTGAGGATGAATTCAGAGCGCCGGTGCAGAATGCCAGGGACTGGCTTAACACTGGAGAACTCTCAGACTTCCGCTCCTGTGCAGCTAATGTCAAGATACCTTTGTGCCATTGGACACACACATGCTGGCTCCATATGGTGAGACAAGACACAAAATGAAGTGAAGGAAAAAAAAATAAACCGCTTAGAAGGGGCTTTTTGGACCGTTATCAATAAAAATACTTAATATCCAGGAAGGAAACCTCTAGAACAATAGTTCTCAAGTGTTCCTAATGTGGCAACTGTTTAAAACCCCCAACCATAAAATTATTTTGGTTGCTACTTCATAGCTCTAATTTTGCTGCTGTTATGAGTCGTAATGTAGACATCTGTGTTTTCTAATGGTCTTAGGCAACTCTAGTGAAGAGCGCTCAACCCCTGAAGGGGTCGCAACCCACAGGTTGAGAACCACTGCTGTAGACAGTCTTTGGTAATCTATTGCTTTTATTTTATTTTTCAAAACAAGGCCCTACTGTCCTGACTGCTGGGATTCCAGATGTGTCCTGTACTCTACTCTGTCCCCCCAGTTCCATTCTTTTTTCTTTTTTTCTTTTTTTTTTTTTTTTTTTTTTTTTTGGTGGTTCAGAGGGGGAACTTCTGAAATACAGCCCTGGTCTTTGTTACTGCTTTAAAACTCAAGAAATTTGCTGGGCAAGGTGGTGATTGCTTTTCATCCCAGCAACACAGTAGCAGGTTATTCTTTGTGAATTGGTTGCCAGGCTGGTCCATATAGCTAGTTTCAGGACAGCCAGGGCTACAAAGTGAGACCCTGTCTCAAAAGCAAACAAAAACCTCAGGGCTGGAGAAATGGCTCAGAGGCCGAGAGCACTGATGCAGATAACCGAGAAGGGTTGAAGAACATCTCAGGCAGAAGAGTGCTGACCTGGCAGGCAGGAGGCCCCATTACTGTGTGACCCAGGCACAGCTGCTCACGCCTGGAGTGTCAGCACTCTGCAGAGGGGCCAGGAGTGAAGAACACTCCTGCACAGCAGGGGTTCCCTTTCGGCCGCCACATTAGGCACAAACCGCAACACCTATTTTCGCAGAGAGATCATTTATTAAGCGGGTGGAGGTTGTTGGCTGCTTTCTGACTCAGCAGAAAAAGAGCAGCAAATGACCTCACAGATGTAATTTTTAAAAAGAGAGAGAGAAAAAAAGGGAGGTCTGTATTAGAAAGGGCTAGGACAAGGTAATAGGTTTTGATTAGGCATGTTAATTATGAGAGAGAAAGTGAGGCTTTTGATTGCTGGACTTCAATATTTTTATAGCTGGATCCTGGTAAGTCAGCTTCAGGAGGAGGAAGTGGCCAAATAAGGGACTAGACCTTGGTGGCCAGCTTTAGGAATGTGATCTGATGGGTTTTATCAAGGCAGAGGGAATAGGGGAGAAGGGCAAGGCCTGTTGGAGCCATGCTGGCCATGCTCCAACTGAGCAGAGTCCCTTCAAGGCGGATGAAGAGTTAAAGGCATGTTTGGCTACACAGAAGAGTTCAAGGGTGGCGGCATGGGTTGCTTGAGACCTGTTTCAAAAAATAGTACTAGAAATCGAAAACAGATTCAAGTACTGGAATTGTGGAAATTAGAGGGTTATCATCCTTCAAATTTAATTCAAGGAAAATATTTCAAAGACTACTTTTCCAAAAGGTTAACAGTGATGTTTAAAAGGAATCTATATAAGGAATATATTATATATAATTATAAATATACTTATACACAACACATTATATATAATACATTTATAAACATATTAAGATATTATAGGTTACAGCACGTTAATTATATATTGATGTATAATATCTACGTTAATATAGTATTATTTATCATACTTATTATATATATATATATATTAAATTTTTTGAGGGTATACCTGCCAAGCATTAGAAAACTAGTTTTCGTTGTTCAGGTGGAAAGGAGACTGGGAAATCCACTCAGAAGTCATTACATTTTACAAGTTCTCTCACAGCATTATCAGGGATTTTAAATTTCAGGGTCACGATTCTAAAAGCGCTCCTCAAGAGAACTGTCAAAAAGAAATCTTGGGTGGGCAGCCTCTATTTTGGGCTCCTAGCGCGCTGCTCTGCCACGCCCCAGGCCCCAAATCCATGCTGCCAGCCAGCCATGGACTCAGAATGGTGGGCAAAGATACTTCTCCCCCATAGCTTATTTAAGCTACTTTGTTTCTGTCCTGGAAAGCTGATTGATGCCTGAGCTCCAAATAGGAGACAAATATGAAATTTGTAAAAATAAAGATTTTAAGTATGCTATGAGGGCTGGAGACGTGCAAGCTAGGTCCCTAACACTGTGCCAACAGGCAGGCATAGTACCTCATACCTCCAATTTCAGCACTTGGGAGGCAGAGGCAGGAGGATCAGAAATCCAAGGTCATCCTATTTGTTCAAGACAAGCCTGGGCTGCAAGAGACCCTATATGAAACAACAAACTAGTAAATTAAGCTAAACATGTTTTTACTTTACAAGAAAAAATAGTCTTATGCTATATAATATCATTTTAGTCAGCATGGAACTTACTTAAGTGGTCCTAACTTATGCCACCCAGTGACATCATCTAATTAGCATATCTAATTTATGGAAATGAACTGTGACATTGTCCCACACAGAGACAAAACCACCAACTGACACACTGGTCAGGGCATATTTTAAACATTCAAGATTTGGAAAGACCTGTATACGAAAAAACTTGAAAGAAATATGTTCCAATGATGAAGTTACTCATTGACCTAATTATGTGTGATTCCTCTTCTTCTTCTTCTTCTCCTCCTCCTCCTCCTCCTCCTCCTCCTCCTTCCCCTCCTCCTCCTCCTCCTCCTCCTTCCCCTTCCCCCTCCTCCTTCTGCTTTTGTTTTTTGTTTTTTGAGAAAGAGTTTCTCTGTGTAGCCTTGGCTGTTCTGGATTCGCTTTGTAGACCAGGCTGGCCTGGAACTCACAGAGATCCACCTGCCTCTGCCCCCCTGAGTGCTCCCTGTGTGTGCCACCACACCCAGCTTATGTGTGATTCTTATGGTATGTTATGGTCACCACAAAAACTAATTTTTAGGCCGGTCAATCAATGCTAACATGGAAAGGATAGAATCCGGCAGTTGTCAAGCGCTGAGAGTCTCTGTGCAGCTCTCCCTCACATGAGGGAGATGCACAAACCCATGAGGAGATAAAGCACAAACCCCAAACGTTCAGGGGTTTGCTGGGAGGAAGAAAGAAAAGAGGTTGATTAATTTCAAGATTAACATTAGTGATGTTTGCACTAAAAAGAGACAATCAGTTGGCTCAGTGGCTAAGAGTGCTTGGGATACACAAATAGTGTAACAGTGAGACCCGAGTGTGGCCCAATCTTACCATATCTAACAACTCTGTTCCCTTCATGGCCCCAAACCACAAGGTCAGACTTCCATGCACTAGGTTTCATTTCTTTTTCCAATTTACAGTTCTAGGAGAGAGGAGGGTAAGAGACCCTTATTGACAGTTCTCTGAGATGCTTAAAATGTCTTATTTTATTTCCTAAATCAGTGAAGAGAATTCAAATAAACAAACCTTTCCTACAAAGAATCACAACGGGAAAACTAAAGCGAAACCACCCAAAATTCCAGAGTTAAGTGGCGTTTTCCTGTTATCCTGAAATTGCAACCCTCAGAGTTTTAACCCTGAGAGTTTTAAACCCTCAGGGCCAAGAACAGGTATTTACCATCCCTTAACATTTCAAATGTAGGCAGTTCCCATGGAGGGCTTGGAGTGTAGTTTCTGTAGCCTTTTGAGGCTGCGTGATGCATACGCAGATCTGCAGTTTATCTGTTAATCTACAGATGGGCCTTCGTGCTGTTCCCATCTTTTGGCCCTTGTGATGAGGATTCTAACCTGCTGTACAGGGACTTTGTGTCCCCGCCTCCAGTGGCTTTGGGTTCTCTCCCAGAAGTGGAAGTTGCTGAGACATATGGAGAGCCAACGTTTGCCTTTTTGAGGAACCGCCATGCCTGCCACAGACACACCATCTTACATTCCCACCACTAAAGTACGAAGGGTCCAACCTCATGGAGACCTTGTCAGCGTCTATTGTTCTCCTTTAAAAAAAATTAAAAAGTTAAGACTGAATCTTAAATACAGAGCTGAGACTGGTGTGATAATAAAAACTTGGAAATTGTTAATTTGGGCAGTCTGATTGCTGATGTGTGGAAATGGGAATTTGTTAGAAACTTGCTGGAGACAAGATACTGAAGCAATAAAACTATTACATTTTTATAGCCTTAAATAAACCAGTTGCAAAAATAAAATGCTAAGCAGAGGGAATTTTTTTTCCCTGTTGGCTTTTTCTTAAAAATCTTTTTCACTTCAAAAATGCTTCTACAGAGATTAGGGCAGGCCAAATGCATTTATTGCCTTTGCCATTTCATTTTCCTCTTTTGTCTGGCTTCTATTCCCACAACCATTCAACAGCTATACTCTTTTTGGTTTTAGCTCTCATCCTCGTTTTCATTCACCAGAGCCTTTGGATGGTGCGTTCCGTGTGTCTATTTCCCCCCCAGTGGAGCTGCAGCATTGGCATAGCGCTTCTCGGGCAAAAGTACTCCAGCATTACCTCCACGATGACCCAAAAACAACTCCACCACTGGCACAGTTTGTTTCATCTAGTAGTTGAGCATCTACTCTGGTGCTGATTGAAGAGCTTGTTTGGAAATTGTTGGCTGGGCGTCACATGTATGAAACTCATGCATCCATCCATCACCCCTTATTTGGTTGTCAAAGGCGATGTTCTCTCTTTGGAATGTGAGAGATGGGAGAGTTATAGACAAAAAGAGGAACAAATGCAAAATAAACAAAACGAAGTTTTAGTCACTCAGTGTGAGACAGAAAAATCCGCTGGAAGGCTGTGCGGTAGAGCACTTGTCTGACATATTTGAGGCTTTAGGATGTAGATGGAGAGAGGGAAGTATTTCAGAGGTCGGGAATGTAGCTTAATCAGTAGATTGCTGGCCTAGCGTATACGAAGATTGTAAACAATCCCCAGCACTGTATAAAGCGTGTGCATGGTGCATGCATGTAACGGCAGCATTCCGAGGTGGAAGCAGGAGGATCAGAAGCTCAGGTTATCCTTGACTACAAAGCAAGTTTAAGGCAAGTCTGGGCTATATGAGACCAGGTGTCAAAAACAAGACAAAACAAAACAAAAACCTTTGAGACTTTGGAGTCTCACGGCTTAAGAACCCTGGAGGTGGATGTAGGGAGGAAGGAGAAGGGGAGAGCTAGCAAGAGATGCAATAGAAGTGTATGTCCTCATGTAGAGACCCCGATCTAAAGGAGTCTCAGCGTCGGGGAACATCTCGGCTTTCTGAGAGCAGTGACGCCTGATATTCCAACCACGTGCTCGTTTCCTCTGGTACTCTTTTACTTTGCTTTGTTTTGTTTTTGTTCTTTTGAGACAGGGTTTCTCTGTGTAGCTTTGGCTGTCCTAGACTCACTTTGTAGACCAGGCTGGCCTCAAACTCACCTCCCTGAGTACGGGAATTAAAGTCCCCCACCCCAGTGCTGAGGGATTAAACCTTGGGCCTTGAGCATGATAGGCAAGTGCGCCATCATTGACTTACATCCCTAGTTTGCTTTGGTATCAAATAAAACAGTGTCAAGAAGCTGGAGAGATGGCTCAGAGGTTAATAGAGCTGGTTGTTCTTCCAAAGGTCCTGAGTTCAATTCCCAGCAACCACATGGTGGCTCACTCACAACCATCTATAATGAGATCTGGCATTTATGCAGGCATGTATAAATAATAAATAAATAAATCTAAAAAAAAAAAGAAGCTGAAAACCAAAGAGATGTTTGGGTTATATTAATATTCACACAGGTGACACGGGACAGTGGCATTAATGTCACTTCTTCATACGTGTCAGCGTGCTCCTGGGACCAGCTTGTATCTACCACTACTAAATGCTCCCTTTTGGGCTCATAATCTGTTATCTCAGACCTTTGACCTTCTCATTCTTCTCCTTCTTCTCCTCCTCCTCCTCCTCCTTCTTCTTCTTCCTCTTAAGTTCTTTTAAAAGCATGGAGATCCTGGGTTAGAGACATAAGTAGCTCAGTAGGTAAAGTATTTGCTGTGCAAGCATGAGGATCCATGCTTGAGACCCCAGAACTCACATTTAAGGGGGGCATGGTGGTGCTTGCAATCCAGTGCTGGAGAGGTGAAAGTAGTTGGGTCCTTGGGGCTTGCTGGCCATCCAGCCTTGCCTACTCTTGATAGCTCAGGAGCAGTAAGAGTCCTTCCCTCACGCAAACAAAACAAGCCCAAGGTGGATAGCTCCTGAGGAATGAGCCGTGAGGTTGACCCTGGCTTCTACATACATGCACACATGCGCACTCACACGAACACATGCAGGCATACACATACACAAACACTAAACAACCTAGAGATCTTGTTCTCACGCTTTGTGATGTAAATACCGTACCGTTTTTTTTTTGTTTGTTTGTTTGTTTGTTTGTTTTTTTTTTTAATCTCTGTCATTTTACAGCGTGCAGAACTCACTCACGAACATTTGGTTCTCACAGCAGCCTTGGAAGATGTTTCCGATTTCACAGATGAGGAAACCAAGGCTTATAACTCGCTCCCAGTCTTTCGTGTAGCAGCTGACAGATTGATCAGTGAGGCTACTGCCTTGTTTGACCTTTGCCAGAGCAGTTGCCATGATTAATCCAGTCACTGTCAACTTGACTGGATTTATGATCACCATGGAAACACACCTCCAAGTGTGTCTCTGAGGGCGTTTACAGAAATGTTTAGCTGGGGAGGGGAGCTTCATTCTGAAGAGGACAGTACCGCCCTGCTCACGGACTGCGGTGCCAGGCTGAGTATAAAGGGGCAAGGCAGGTGAGCCCCAGCATTCGCCTCTCTCTGCGTCCTGATCGTGGGTACAGCTCAGGCATGTTTCTGCCAGCATGGCCTCCCTGACACAATGCACTTAAACTGTGAGCCAAAACAAACCTTTCCTTCCTGGAGTTGCTTCTGGCAGGTGTGTTGCCACAGCAACTAGAAAAAGAGCCGATAGAGCTGCCCTTTGCGATTCTGTGGCCGCCTAGCATAGCAGAACTCTGCTTGCACTTTCTGTTTTTGAAGCCAATTAAGGCATTTGTACTCTTATTATTGACTATTTTCAAGCTTATCAAATTAGTCTTGGGAAAAAAACACAACCTTTATGAGAGATGAAGGAATAGTAATGAACATTAGGAAAGTGAAAATCTCATTACAAATGTGGAAATCTTGCTTTATTAAATATTCATCTGAGTGATGAGGCTGAGGAGAGGCCGGGAGGGGTGTACGGGGATAACAAAGAATAGACGCTATGTCTTTCAGCTAGAGGCTGAGAGCAATGTGAAAATCCAACAGGATTTTGATGGAAAGCCTCAACACTCTCTCTCAAGTGCTCAATAAAGCATAACTAAACACCAAGTAGGAAGTAACAGTATAGACTTATAAAAAGATCCTGTCCTCCCCATACCAATTAAATCTAAAACAGAATAATTCCCTGGGCACCATTAACATAGACAAAGTCTTATCTTGTCCCGGTGCAGACAAAAGCCGTTCATTCAAGCAAAACCACAGACACGGCGAAGGGACCACGCCAGACTCAGCGTTTCACAGGCTAAGAGCAGAGCTGGCTCCAAACCCAGACTGCCTCCCTCCTCAGTTCTCCAAGCAAGAACAGGCCGGTCGTCCTTGTACATCGCTTATTATGGCAGGGCACTCCTTCTCAATGGGCTATTTACACACGCCGTTTTCTCGGAGCCTCCGGGCCACAGCGAGGATGCTTGCTCTCCAGACAGTTCCGTAATGGGCTTGAGCTCTGCACGTCACCGTCCTACTGTGCAAGTTTACTAAAAACAAAGTGAATGCATTTAATTTTTGTTGATTTCCCCGTCTCCTTTCTCTCCTGGGAAGAAGCCCCTATGAGCCCCAAAGAGGAACAGGCCTGGTTAGGGTCAGAATTTGAAGGCGTCAAGCAACTCCGAGTCGCCTCCAGAGCCCCACGGGATGCACAAGCAACGAGTGAGACAACAGGTCATTTCTAGGTTTCATCGTGTTAAACAACTGTCTTAGGGGCTGGGGGATGACTCCCGGAGTAAAGACCTCAGTTAAAACCCCCGAATCCACGTGAAGCCCACTGAGATGCCTGTGGCCCTGGTGCTCCTGTGGAGACAGCAGAGACGGGACAAGAAGAAATCTTGGAAGGCCTCAGCTCACCCAGTGGTGGAGGTAGGGAGAGAGCCTGACTCAGGCAAGTTGGAGAGTGGGGACTGACACCCTGCACTCACACACACCAGTGTACACACACGAGAGAAAAAATAGGTTAAAAACCTTCCGTTGATTCTTTGTGAGCTTCACACCACACACCCCAGGCCCAAACATTTCCCATCCCCTTGCATCTGCCCTCTGCCCTTGCAACCTCCAAACCCCTGGAAAAAAAAAAATGCACAAGCAAACAAAATAAGCAAAACAAAGTAGAGCATGGAAAACATCTCTTCGTGGAAGCCGCGGTGTCAGTGTGTCCCATAGCATGTCCCTCTGTCCACATCTTCATTTGTTAATGTTGATTGCGAAGTCATTAGTGTGGTTCGAGGTCTCTGGCTTCTGTGACACCATTGACATTGGATCCTCACGGGGACTCCTCCTGGGTATCCTGTTGTTGCCCGTGTCATGGAGACCCTGCAGCACTGGGTCAGCAGGACCTGCCCTTTCACCACCCCAACAGTTCACGGATGATGTATATTTTGGGGTAAAGTCCTGGATCTGGGCCTGGGTGGTAGCTGAGCTGGTCAGCAAACCAGCTCTGTCTTATGTGCACCACCAGGGTAAGCTCTCCAGCACTGCTCTGGCCAGCCCACCCAATGCCACCATCGGCAGGAGGCAGAGCTGGCTGTCCTGCTCTCCTGCCCGTGGGCCGGCTCACCCCGACCCAGGCCTCCAGAGCCACTTCCACTCTGCTGCCCAAGTGCTGCAGCCGGCAAGGGGCTGGGCCAGCTCTCCTGCTCTCACACCCCAGGGGCTGGCTCACCCGTGCCTTTGCCATCAGGGCCAGCTCCACCGTGTTGCCCAGGCAAGGTGCAGGGGCTGCTCTCC